TTTACAATAAGGCTTTCAAATAAGTCATGGTTGTACGGCAGTGAAGCACCGGTGTGGAACACTGATGTCATGCTGTCGAAGATGATGATGATGATTATCACTCACAATCCACTATTTGCCTATACATGCAGGCTGAATGTGTATGACTAAGAAGGCACGACGCACTAATCCTGAAGGGATCGCGTTGTTGAGAGGGGGAGTATAGGAAGTAGTCATCAAGAGCATCACATACGAACCAACATTGCATCAACAGCATTGAAGCACATGATCCGATGCAGCTAGGTTCGTCTGGACGTCTGAAGTGGAGCGAGCTTACGTCACACCATTCGAGTTCTGTCTTCACGTCATAGCATATCAGAGCACCTATTCGAAGACTACGGACGGGTCCGGTTATAGAAGGGTCACTTAAGCGTGACAAATGAGGAAGAGAACGTTAATGCATTTAACAAATCAGCTGGAGGCTCAAGGACGAATTTCACTTAGAGGTTGCTACCAGAATCATAAGAACTTTGGCCACAGTGGACAAAATTTTGACAGAACCCACAAAAAGTGATCATCATTGCAGAGTGGTCATTGCGTAGCGGCATGTTGTGAAGTGGCCCATTCCACTTTTTCACCATATTTGGGCTATCTGTCCGTTTCCTGACTATCCAGGTTCAAAGGCTGGGTGGCGCTATGACTTGTGACGGATGTTTGTGAATAAAGTGACTGGAGGATGTCTACGACAAAGGTCCTCCTCTTGCGGAAGGTCACTGTCTAGGGGGATTTTAGGTTTATAGCAATGTGGTAACCACATGTTTTGAATGTTGATAGTGAGCTTATCTCTTGGGTTTCGAAGCGCCAGAGAGCTTTGTCTAATCCTGTCGCATTAGTCGGTCCCAACGCAATAAAAATATTTTATCTCAGGCGCACGAACTTCCTACCATAAAGCCGTAGTCACTTCCAGACCATACGCTAAGTCTTATTCGATTTACAGATGCCAAGGACGCTGTGTGAACGTCTTTTCTTAGTTGATACCCAACCAGGCATCTCAGATGACGACTCAGTACCGATTATGGTTGTTCAACTGGATGATACAACTATTGTGATTAATCAGCTAGACGGTCTCACCGTTGCGAGACATTAATGAATTGAGGGTGTCGCGTGTGTGTTCACCGCACCTAGGTGCACTAAAGTGCGCTTAGTTTTATAGCTTACTGGTAATGAGGTTTTTTTAAGTGATTCAGCGCAAATTTCCCATGGAGCTTTATGGAGTCTCACATCATGCCATACTATGCTGTCAATTTCCTTCAAATTGCAACTCCAGTATGGAAGAGTGAATTCATTACTTCGATTACGGTACATCCCTCTTGATTTGTAAACGAAACGGTATGGGTGATTTTGGTTTACGACCAGCGGATTTTACGTGTGAGATCGTACTGCGAATCCGATCGCATGGTACTAGTCTACTGAATGCAGACTGATCGGAAGAGCAACATCATGTTTACTTTAGTGTAAGCAGCAGAAAGAGGCTAACCAAACATTTTGAGAGAATACCCTATTTACTCAAATAAATAAATCTTTGTTCCAAAGGGCAGGTTGGTCCACAACCTTAAGCATTCATTCTCAAAGAAAGGCAGCAAACAAAACATCGGTTTAGCCAAAAACCTTTTAATATGAACCTAGCTGAGTTATATTTCTAGGGCGGATGTTTTGTCAGCGCATTGTAAGTAGTGACTGAATATTTTCAGGTTTAATGGAGAATTTCCTAATGCGAACAAGCAAGTCCACACTCAAGTCTACTCAGTAAACCAAAGTTGACTGGGGACCATGACCACTCGCCTGAACGAATTTAAAATGTCAACAGCAAAAATATGCTAGCAGCGCACGACGTCGGACACTTCCGCATACTCTGAAACGATCGCGATATTAGGCAAAAGTAGGTACAGCCGGTGTTGTGTACTCAAATGCAATACCGGTTGCGTGACTCCTGCTCCGACGACATATGGGATCGGCGTTTTGAGAAATCCAAGAACCATGCCAGTTTGCAAACTGTACTCAAGGGAATTTGATTTTAACTTAGTACAATAAACTAGAAATTCAACCGGGATGAAGTGTAATTTACCCTGAGATCAAAGTAGTGTGCACAAATTGGGATCAAGTAGAACATAAGTTTTAAGGAAGCTCCGGGACTGCACCTATCTACTATGCATCAAAAAGGATGAAACTGGTCGCGGGCTGTTTGAGGGTTTTTAGCTGCCTTATGGGTAGTTTAATCCGTCAAAACAATCATACTAGTTGCTCACAAGTACCCATTAGTCGTCACTTCTGATTCAATCTGACTCTGTCACTCCCCTAAATTCTAGCGCAGCCCCGTGGGAACTGCTGGTCTAAAGAGTAGTTGACTTGAATGTTCTGTTCGACGCAGATTGTTAACTGTTACGTATTAGATCAAGACAATATCACCAACATTTTCATCATCATTTTCTACCTCTGAATTATCATCATCCTCATCTTCATCATCCTCAACATCTTTCAAGCTGTGGATGTGGTCTTCTGTTCTCGTCCCTTCACACAATTTCTGCTCAGTGCCATTTCATGCGTTTAGAAATATCTCTCATTTGCAAACTCGGGTGTGTTAGTTCCGTTCGCCTACAGCCAATTCACCAACCTTGGCGAACAGATCAGATGCCCCCAGTCCATTGTGTTTGCGTTTAAAGTGAACTAGTGGGAACAAAAATTAAGTGCGGAGAACTCTACCAAGAAGCGTATATTTTAACTGTGTGTGCAAATCTTTGCAGACACAACCCCTTGTATGTACCTCTATAAACAATTGTAAATTTGAGCATAAACTCACCGAGGAGGGTCAGTGAAAAGTAACATCGTGAGCCACTCAACACATTTGCAAAGACTACACTAGCTCCAGAAAATAGTTTTCCAACCGAAATTGTAATTCTTGTTGTTGTTGTTGTTGTTGTTGTTGTTGTTGTTGTTGTTGTTGTTGTGACCATTTGGGATTGCACATTGATGCGGATTTCGCTTGGCTCATCTTACATGTTAACAAATTTGGAATTGCACACGCGTTAAACTCCCTACCACCCTGCCTACAAACAAATACATTTTCGTCCCCCACCCGCCACTTTTTTCTCTTGCCCACCGCATATAAACACCATCGGATGTAACGTCAATAATACACAGCGGTGCCTAGACGAATATAAACAACTGAGGATTTAACACGATATGCAACGTCTGTATGGCAGTGTTTATGCCTATCTATGGGATCCGCTACCTCAGAGTCTGATGAACGGTATTCTGTATGCCAATTAGTCACAATGAATCGAATGCAAATGAACCGGGTTCCTAAAATCCATTCGTGCGTGAAGGTCCAATTGGTCGAGACTACATGAATTAGCTGCATCCTAAAGTCAAAGGGTCTTCATTTATATGACTGGGCATGGTCAGCTTTATTAAAAATTCTGTGAATTCGGTACGTTCACAATGCTGTGAAACGAAATCTTGTGTGTATCATAGGGACATTACTATCCTCACAATGGTTATCTCTCCATAGTACACTGTACTTATATATCTAATATTTCTCAAACAAATTGAATGAAGGTTGTATGAGGCACTTTCCCCTCGTTTTATTGAACTGACAACAATATGAGAAATCCCGTCTCGCTAAATATTCACTCAATTATTATCCTCTGGTAGATACACGACAATCAGAATCCTAAGAAGGACGTTAACCAAATGCTGGCTGCATGCTTGCTACCGAAGAATGAGTAGCTCGATTAGATGGTATCAGTGTGCTTTCTGGATAGATGACGACCTTCTTCCAAGTTAAATTATCCCTAAGGCCCCTGTAGAAATGGGTTCAGGTAATCGACGACGAGAAGCATCTTTGGAAAAGACTGTCTGTGACCCAGAAACACAGGAAAGGTGACGTTTGAACTGACTTATTTTAGAAGCCGAGCTAGCCAGCGTTCAGAAGTATTCTAGCTCCCTTAGTACTGTCCTTATAGGAGAAAGAATAGTGCGGTCCCACTGTGTGGTGCTAGTGGCCAAGTTTCGTCATCACTCGCCATCACCAAAAGAAACCACCAAGTTGAGTTGGATTGATCGACTGAGATTGCTGTTCAATAAAGCTCATTACTCGGAAATGTATGTTGGCTAGCGAGACAAGATAGCTGTAGGTCTCCATTAAGAGGTCATGTAGCGTGCACAGACAGGTAGTCTCGAATCCCCTCACGAATGTCCGGTCAGTTGAATCCTGAATTCATATCAACGGTCGTATGTTACTGACTAGTTTACAGGAATGTTTAAGAAATACCTGCACAACACCTGTTGAAACAGTCGTTTTAGGACTGAAATGCAGTTAACAGTCTGCATTATTCAAAACTAAAAGCGTGATTACCAGTCCCTCGGAGAGCATATGTTTACAAATTTTATAAAGGATCGGGACATTCGAAACCATTGTCCACG